TTGTGTGTGTGAAGTTTGAACTCGATCAATCCAAGCATGTCTCAGATACGGATCCAGAACTGAATTCTTTAAAACAAAATGGCCGCCAGTCGGCCATTTCGAACCCGATCCAAAAAAAAATGATGTGCATCAAGGTCCTATTATGTTTAATGTATGTACCAAATTTGAACAAAATCCGTCCATGCATAACTGAGATCCGGGTCCGGAATGGTGAAAATGTGCGATTTTGATGCATTTTCGGCCTTAAAATGGCCGCTATTCGGCTATCGTTAATCGCATCATGAAAAAAATGCATGTGCATATGTTCCATATAATGTGTGATGTATGAGTGAAGTTTGAACTTAATCGGTCCATGCATGTTCGAGATACAGGTGATCACGGACGCACGGACGGACGGACGCACACAGGGCAAAACATAAGTCCCCGTTTTCGGACTGCGTCCGAACGGGGACTAACAACACCTGAACACTAAAATTATGATATCTAAACTCCCTGATCATGATACCTGAAGATTAGTATGTCATCACTTGAACACTCAGATTATGATACCAGAACATTCAGATTACTATACAAGAACACTTGTATAATGACACCTGGACACTCAGATTATGATACTTGAACACTCGCACATACACACATTCACTCACTAACAATAAAGATGTTCAACTATGTTGGTATTTTTAGGAGTTCGTGTTCCAGTATAGAGTAATCTCCGAATAGGTCAACTCAGGCATAGCGTCCTCTAGTGATTTTGAGCATCCCTCTAGTGGTCAAACTCATTTTACTTTTTGCCTTATCAAGTCAGCAAGCACAATTGTATCTGCGAACGCATTTTTAGGGATTCTCGAAAGTGCACTAGCTACTACATTTTGAAGCTGTCATTTTCATTTTTATTCATTTTCAACTATAAGGAGGTACATACTACAAAATATGACATTTGGGCCTGATAGATTACTATCTAAGGTCAGCTGTCACATGACCTCAACTATCCCGCAGTGAAGCAAGCATCATCCTTCAGATCTGATAACAAAGCTATCATGATCGATTACTGACAGCCAGAATTTTTTAAAGTTCTCAGAAATAAATACAACAGGAGGTGAATTTTACAGATGTGACAGATTTTTCCAATTTTTAAAGAGAGAAGAGAGAAGAGCATGTATTTTTGGAAATATTCATCACTGGCACATTATTAAAAATACAATTTAGACAAAAACATATTTTTTTTTATAGATTACAGTAATATAGATACAGTAGACAAATCATTTCAACATGAGCAATTGCGGGACACACAACAGCATTCATGAAAAAAAATCAAAACCACTAATGTTCATGTGCATGTTATCGTATGTATCAAAACCACCAGAGAATTTAATCGAATAGAAAGCCAGATTTTTGCTAAAAGAAAAGCATTTTTATGTCAAGTTTTGATTCTAAACAGGGCAACTATACCTACAAATTAATACACATTGCATATAAGTTTGATAGCGATTGGCTGAATATTATTGGAGTTATCGCACACACAAAAAAAGTTTAGAATGATGTCGAACAATGACGATTCCAACGATGGAGACTGCCAGATGACAGACATTTTGTCACTATTACACTGTATGACGGGAAAGCCAAAAAATCCTGAAGACACCTGAGAAAATGTCAAATAATTCACGTACATGTTTTTTGGGGTAAAATTTTTAGTGCAATTTTTGTGTTTCTGAATATTCAACAAAATTCAGTTTTCATTGGATTTCATTTCATGATTTAGATATTTAGTGTATTCACTGATTTTTAACTTCATACACAGTGGTTGTATTTATATACATATTGTACGAGTGTAACAAGTTTTTATGCTATGAATTTGCTAAAATTTGTTGGTAAAATTGTTCAGCTGTGAGTTAATTGAACTTAATATGCATACTTCCAGCTACAGTTTTAAATAATTTAATGACTTTTTAGTTTAAACTTCACAAGATATTAAAATTGGCCATAACATGTAAGTTACAAAAATCTAAGTTCATTTAAAGATTTTAATTTTGATTTATTATTTTCTAGAAAA